GTTTATAATTGCAGAAAACATACAACTATCAAAATATCCATCAATATGGCACCAGTTAAGAAAAATTTGGCATATCCATCAATAGAATATTATGCAGCTTTAAAAAGAATGTAGCAAATCTTTTATATATATATATATATATATATAATAGATATAGATGATATAGATATAGATATAGAATGACCTCTAAGCGTCATTCTATGCTTAAGGAATGAGGAATAATATGCACAATGTTAAAAACTAAAAAACTGGAAGGACACACAGAAACTGTTAGTGTTAAATTCTGGAAATGGCAGTGAAGTGTCAAAGGGAACTTTTTCTTTCCTTTTGTGTATGTGTATTTTTTTATTTTTATTTTTATTTTTGTAGAGGGCAGTGTCACTGGCCCTCACATGTGGGATCCGAACCGGGCCCTCTGGCGTCCCAAGCCAGTTCCTAACCATTGTGCCACTCGGCCGGCCCGCAAGGCAAACTTTTGAAACACAATATGTTTAAAGAAAATACAGAAAAATATAGTTTTTGTTTTTCTTCTTAGGTTTTGTCTACATTTCTTTTTCTTTTAGTGTAGTGTTTTTCTACTTGAGAGTAACTGCAGACAATCTAGTTAGGTCATTAGATGTTTGTGTGATTATACAGTACACTGTTAGCAGCTTTGCAGAATTCAGTAACTGAATACACTTCCAAATTTTTTATAACCTGTCAAAATAATATATTTATAATAAAAATAAAGAGTATACATGATATGTTTTTGCTGTAGATTTATCTTTTTGGAGAGCCCAATAATACCCTGGTGTGCTGGAGCCGGCTCATACTGGTTTGTGAGAACTGATTGTTAAGTTTTCAGAAATTTTGCAAGCCAGGTATTAAACCATTGTTAGGTTGAAATTGGCCATGAAGGAGCATTTGCACCGTGAAGGAAATTGGCAAATGTTGCAAATTAGGGCTCCTTCTCCAGAGAGCTGGTTGTTAAACCTTTATGAGTCTCCACTGTATATATGCTACAATTATTAAGAATTATATATATATACACACATACATATACTATAGATACATTATAATTAAGCATTTTCAAAGGTGAAGTATGTGTTTCAAGACATGTTTCAGGCAAATTCATATTTATTCCAATCTCCAGCACAATTGTTACATCTACCATGAGACGATGATTAGGAGTTAGTGTGAAGTACTCCTCTACCTCCTAAAGAAAACAAACCAAAACAAACTTCAAATAAATGAATGGTTGACCAAAATCAAATGCATTTGAGTTTATCCCTTTTCTTTGTTATGAAGACAGCAGCTGAATACCCTTTTATATAATGCCTGCTATTTTTCTGTTATACTCCTCAATTTAGACAGCCTGTAGCACTCAATGCCCAGGTTTTTTGATGCTGAGATAGGGAAGATATTATGCTCAATTCAAGAAAGATACATTTTTTCTGTTTGCTTTGAGGTATTCACTTGATTTATTTGATTTATGGAGAGCAGTACATCAGCAAATGGCTCCACCCTCTTTCAGAATATAGAGCCTAATTGGTACAGAACCCAAAATGGACACCTGTATGGCATACTGTCAAATCCTCACCTGCCTTCTCTGTGTATCCAAAGGGCAAGGGGAGAGAATCAAGCACTGACTATGGTAGAGACTGTAGGTTGAATAAAGCAACCAGGAGTGGAGATATACAAGTGAAAAGCCCTCTTTATGTGGCTTTGGTGAAAACATGTGACTTTGGGCAGAATGGACATCTGAATTGCCTTCACCAGGACAGTCCTGGTTGTCCCCCAGGGCAGCTCTATTATATCTGTCTGGCAGTGGGGAGTCTAGGCAGCCTGTGTACTGCTGGCTTATACACTTCTGCTCACACCCCTGATGTGAGCACATAACCCCACCCTCCCTCCAGCAGTCCTGTACCACTGTTAGGACCTCATGGAAGTTGTAATTGACTGTGCATGGCAAGAATGCCCTGGAAGTAACACTTGGAGGAGTTGCCCTGAACAAATTCTGCTTAGTGGCTCAGAATTCAAATAGGCTCTTGGGGCAAAATTGTAAAGGACAGAGAGACTTGTTAGATGGCTTCTATTTCCTGAACAACAATCCAGGTTAGTATGGATTCCTTTCCTGATCACTTAAAACCCCTTGGTAAGCATGTTCATTGGCTTTGAAAGTTGGAAGGTGCTTTTTTGTTCAGTTTGATTTCCCTCATTTACAGGTGGGGAAACCAAAAAGCAGTCAGGTGACTTGCCCAAAGTCATAGTGCTGGTAAGAGGTAGAAGCAGGTTTGCTGACACACCAACCTGGCATTCTTCAGGCTAGCCCTGTAAATCCTCTTGACTTCTGAGGGAAACTATACCTCCACTCTCACCAAATATCTTATTAACACGTTCAGAGCTGGGTGGTTGGATACATGCTTTGAAGAAGGTATTCCAGGAAATATTTTTGGTTTAAGAACTTTGGTCCAAACACTTATGCAGAACTATATACTGAGGTGGCTTTACTGATGTCATCATAAAAAAGCATCTTCACTTTCATTCAGGTCAGATTTTGGGAGCCAAGTTACAACTATTTAGGTTGGATCTTCCTTCTTAGCTGAATTTTACATGACCATATTTTTTACAACCCCCCTCCCCAGTTTTCCTATTTAATTTTTATGAAATGAATATATATTTCATGGGCAACAATAAACCTTTACTAACTTGGCAGGTTGCTTTGTTCGCCAATTATAAGGCTAACAAAACATAAAGGTCATGACTTTGGGAGAAAAAGTTTGTTGTGACTCCATCAAAAGTTTCAGTGATTGCTAATATTTAGAACTTGTGTAATTGCAATCGCTCCCTTTTTCACATTAAGCATTTTGACTAATTGGAGTTGATTCTTATTATTTCAACCATCAGAATGATGTAGCATTGAATTCTTTCCAAATGGCTAATGTAGTCTGAATAGATTAACAACCAGAATTAACCTGTGAGGAATCTAGTTATATGATCATACACACGTGGCCTTTTTCTTTTTTGGCCTTTATCTTACGCTTGCGATTTTTACTCAGAAATAAAGATGGACTCAACTGTTAATAATCTATGGAATCTGAGTTGCTTCTGGAAAATAATAGAGAAATATTGAAAATGATGAAGGCTTTTTCAAATGTTATGATGCCATTTATAAATGATTATTTGGCCAGATGTAGTAAAACATATTATGAACCTCTACTTAAAACAAAATTCTGTACATAAAACAAAACATATACAAATTTGAATCTATGTATATATATTTTACAGTTTTCAATGTTTACTTTGTGTTTTATTACATAAAAATAGCCATTTACAGTTAGTTACTCCAGAAATTTCAGTCACATACAATGTCTTGAAATCAAACAATGGTCTAGTATGTTGGCATTTCTATCAATTATAATCCTAGAAAATGTCAAGTTGAACAATAGGGCATTGAAGCACATTGGTGACTGTTTTTTCTGAATTATTTAGTGTCGTCAAATGAAGTACTTAATATGTTTCATTTTGATTCTTTGGGTACTCTTTATTTTTGCTTTGGGTAACATCTCTGTTGGGTCATTCATTACTACTCACTAGGAAAATAACAACCAAAAAAAAAAATCCTTCAGTGTCACATTTAATTGTCAGAGTATTTAAAATGAGACTAAACCCTCATGGAGACATTTCTGTATTCTGACTATTGCATTAGAAGGGCTCAATGGCATTTTCATAGATCCTCTCTTTTTTTAATGATCATTTGTCTAATCAGATCTGCTATCTCAGGCCTGATGGCTTCAGCAGGTTCCTCTGGCCTCCAGGATTTCACAACTTGACCCTCAGGGTTGACCAGATACTTCCAAAAATTCCACCTTGGTTCCTTCTTTGAAGAATCTAAAATATCAGAATATATTTTCATGAGCATAATTTTATTCTTTGTCAAGATTTTCAACTCTGTTAGTATCTGCATAAGTGACAACTTTAGAATCAAGGTCTAGGATTGTCACAATGTCAAAAGGAAAACAAAAAGCAAAACACCTAAACAAAGCAAAACTCAAGGTTTGATTAAACAGATTTCTATATATTTGGTGACTTCACTGATGATTCTACTGATCTAGAATCATGAAATGAAATACAGTGATTTATTTTAGATATGTTGATCTAAACAAAAAATTTCATTATATAATAACCTTGTCATTATTAGCTTAAAACTTTAACATTTTCTTATTAGATAAAATGATGTTCTAAAGGTCCTTGGTAATGGGAATGTATAGATTACTCTTTATATTAAATATATCTCTGTTTTTAATAGTTATGTATTATATAGCTGAAAATGGTAAGAAATTCTAAATAGTCATATTATTTTGAGAAACTATGACATCTTTTGATACATCTTAATTTATTTAAGAAATGTAGATTTTCCCCATTTATATCATTCTGGATTTGTGCATTATTATTGATTAACATGAGAAAAAACATATAAATAAAATGTATTAAGTGCCTACCATATGCATAGTAATATATGCTTAGTGCTTGAAATGGATCCTCTCATGTAATCTTTACAGCAACCCTATGAGGTGCGTTTGTTATTACCCCCATTTTGCAGATGAGAAAAATGGAGGCCTAGACTCAAGGTCACGCGGCTAATGAGTGGCAGACCCTGGACTGATAACTGGCCTTTCTATTCCAGAGCTTGTACTCTTAATCTCTGGGCTCTATTACCTCCGGAGGGGACATGGCAAAGCAAGCAGATTTTAGGAAGAGGATGATAAATTCTTTTCCGTACATGAGGGGATTCAGGTGTATGTGAGACACACAATCAGAGGAGTCCACTGAATATATGGCTTTGCAGCGGTTCTCAACCTGTGGGTTGCGACCCCTTTGGGGGTCGAACGACCCTTTCACAGGGGTCGCCTAAGACCATCGGAAAACAAAAAGATATTTACATTACGATTCATAACAATAGCAAAATTACGGTTACAGAATAGTAATGAAAATAATTTTATGGTTGGGGGTCACCACAACATGAGGAACTGGACTAAGGGGTCGCGGCATTAGGAAGGTTGAGAACCGCTGCTTTAGAGCTTAAGAGAGAGCTCCGTCAGGGAAAGGAGATAGAACAAGAAGAGTCCAAGTGGGTTTTTGGCAGAATCTTGAGGATCAATAGAGCTAAGGGTGGATGGAAAAGAGGAAACTGCAAAGGAGAAGGACAAGGGGCCAGAGTGGAAGTTCCTCGTACCATGACCCACCAGGGGAGTCATGGGGCAAGAAGCCAGACACAGTGATCTAAGAAGGAAATGGAGACAGGGAAGCAGAGAAAACAAGTGTTAACTATTCTTTCAAAAACAGTAATGAAGTAGGTAAAAGGAATACATTGTCCAGAGTTTTTAAAGGTGGGGAATACTTTGCTTTATGCTGGGAAAACAACCAATGGGAAGCATTGGTTAAAAATAATAAATAAAATGTAGCCTAATATTTACTTATATGTGCTTTACTTTACGTACTGTGCCAAGCATTTAAATTGGTTATTTCATTATTAGAAGTATTGATGACTAAGTTTCAGCCCCCACTTACCCCCCCACCCAGATGCCCTGAACAACATGCATACCTGTACAGAGTGGTCCTCTGTGACAACATAATCAGTTACTGTCCATTTTGGTTAGTCTTAAAAGATCTAATTTTATTTGGCCATCATCTCATAGTCTTTGTCTCTGGAGCTTCATTTAAAATCACTGTTATCTTTTGAATACATGGGGTAGGTGGAGTTTCAGACCCTTTTTTAGTGGTAAAGGGGAAGAACCCAGGAGCTATTGCGCTCAAGTATTTGGCTGCTATAATTAAGGAATGATTGGGGATGCGCTCTGGCCTTTCTTTCCTCATTGTGCCTTAGGACATCTGGTTTGTTGGATTGGAAGCTTGATTTGCCTGACTGAGGTCATAGTTTTATCAAAACTCAAACAATCTATAATGAAAACAGGACTGAGGATATCATCTGCATAAGTTAGATGAGAGGACAGTAGCTGAACTCCTTTAGTGCCTGGTGCAGTGTATGCGGTGTATGAGTACTTTACTTTTATTATTAACACAATCTTCCAAACAATCTTAGGAGGTAGATATTATTGATAGTCTCATTTTGCAAGTGAGAAAACAGGCACAGAAAAGTTATGTACCTAAAGACACACAGCAAAAGCAACAGAGCAGGAGTTTGAAGCCAGGTAGACTGGGGCCACAGTCTATGCTCTTAGTCACTAAATCTTACTTCCTTTATGCTAACTGACCCTGGAAAATCTTTAAATAAATGTCTGTAGCTAGTCTAACTGTAGAAATAGCTTAACACTACGTTCCCTGCCCTCCACCCCCGAATTATTCTGTTTTAAATTTTAGCAAATATCCAGTAAAATAAGTATTATTCATCTTTGAGGATAATATCTCAGATAAGGCAACATAAAATTAACCGTAAAAATATGTTTAACTAAGAATGCTCAGCAATATTCATGAATTCATGAGAGATGTACAGCTTTTATAATGGGGAGAGATAGTTCCCCAAATGCTAGTTAAAGAAGAGGAGAATTGAGACATTTTGTGTAAATAGCCATGGCCACATTTCAAGTAAATTCTTCAGAAAAAAAAAATTATCATAAGGAATAAAATACAGTGGAATAGATTTATTTTTGCCATCCAAGGTGTTAAAACTTGATTTCAGGGACACATAACTTATAGAAAGTTTGAAAGGATGAAATTCTGGCTCTTTGACAGTCTTATAAAACTTTCCCACTAAAACATTTCAAATAGGAAAGTATACATGGTCCTGATATATTTGTTTTAAAAATGCAAAGCAATTAAAAACATTAAATTCGTGAGGCAAGATAGATATTTACCAACAAGAAATCTAAATGCAGGCTCTGCTTCAGGTCCTAGAATCTTAATCTTGTGGAAGATGGGGAATGTTACTCCGTAGTTATTTCTTGCAAAAGACACTACTTCCTTGCTTGGGCGGGGCTCCGATTCTCCAAACTGATTGCATGGAAAAGCCAAGACGCTGAAGTGGAATGGTCCAAACTCTTTGTGCAGTTCCTGCAGTGCTAAGTAATTTCTGTCTGTGAGTTGGCAGTCACTAGCCACGTTTACAACTAGTGTAACCTCCCGGAAAAAGAAAAAAAATCCAACCGGAAAGTGAAGCAAATAAAAGATTAAAAAAAAAAAAATTCTGCAAGTAGCTAAAATCCTAAACCATTCTGGGGGAAATACAACCTTTGATAGATGGTTATTTCATATTTTTAGACATACCCAATTTTATTGAAAATCATGACCTGGATGCGTGACTTTAAGACTCTAAAAGATCATTATCATTAAAAAAGCATCAGGTACTCATGATGGTTTATTTTAAAATAAAAGATAATAATATTCTTGATAGAGTGCTTTTTTTAATGTTGTTAGATTATGGAATTAGTCCTTTTATTAATGTCTCCATATTCACATTACTAAGAATTTTCTAAACAACTTAATGTATTAATTCAGCACATAAATGAAAACATTTTAAAGAAAATGGTTAAGATAATTAGTTTATCAATTAGAAGTAAACTGAGAGCTCTGATGGCTGAAGTGATGCACTAATATTACTTTATTATAAATGATAACTTATGACCATTTAACAGCAAAAATTGATTCCATTAAGAGAATAAACAGAGAATGTGGACAAGCAAAAAATAAATAAAAATGAGAAGATACAACTTACTTTGCCTTTAAACTTTTCCAGAGAAACCGGTCTTCCTTTTGCATCTTTCACTTCAAAGGTATAAAAGCTGTTGATTTTAGGTTTTAGGAATTTTAGTTGTAGAAGAAATAGCATTACTGTGCATAGAACAATAGACAGCAAAACTGCAAATACCTTTGCTTTGGGCCCTGAACATCTTAAAGGGTAAGCTGTAAGAGGCTCCATTTTGGATGATTCTGGAGGGAAGTCTCTGCGGGCTGGAATTCAAGGAGGAGCTGAAACTTGAAACCGGCTCAGTTGAACGGAAAACCAGGAAGGACAGACTCGCTCCTTTCCCTGCTAAGGAATAAAAAGACCCGTCTCAGATGGCAAAAGGAGTGAAACTCCCGAACAAAGTAAAGAGTGCTAAAAAATTTCATTATATTTATGATGTCGACTGCATTTTTTGCTAGAAAAATGAGGTCATTTTGGTAACGCTTTGACATCCTCCCAACAAAGAAATTATTTCACCGGAAGATGGTGCCCTTGTAGCTTGAAAGCTGTGAAGTGCTCCCAGCAATTGTTGAATGTAGAGGATTGGGTACACAATACCCAGGCACAGTTCAGAGTGTAGATTAAGGGTGAGCTATTAACATGATGTGTGACCTGAAGGACTTGAATATTATATATATGGATTTTAAACATGCTATATGAGTTCAAAGAATTTATAGTGGAAAGGGCAGTGAAATATCTGAAGAGGCTACTCTAACCTCATCTAGCTAAGGCAATGCCAGGTAAACAGAGTAAAAATAAATGATTAAAAACGATGGCTTTAAAAAAACCCTCCTCTATCATAAAGGAAGTTATAGTCCAGTGTTTTTCAAATTTTTGATCATGACCCACAGTAAGAAATGAACTTTACAATCTAACAGACACATATAACTGAGAAGTTTCATTAAACAGTACTTCCCCTTTGAACTGCAATGCACTTCTGTCAATTGCATTTTTAAAACACCTGGTTCTGACCTGTGAAAATGATTTAATGATTCCCAAATGGGCTACAACCTGTAGAGGAAAAATACTGAATTCTATATTAAAGCAGGAACTTAATTAAATAAGACAATTCAACCAAAAAGGCAAAATAATCCCCCCCCCCTTTCTGCCTGAACTCACCTGTACTTGGGTGCATCATCTAGTTGCTTTATTTTTTGTCTTTATTTTTCCTCTGGCTTTTGCCTCCTACAGGAGGCTTATCTTTATTGTTGAAAATTTAGGTGGTAGGTATGGAGATGGAACTACATAAACTGAAATCCATGGTTCCTTTAGTCACCTTAGGATCTACCTATTTAAGACACATTGCAAGTTTTGAATGAAGGTGCTTTGTTCCACTTGGGCCTGACAGCGTTGCGGTGTGTTTCCAGAAAGTACATGGAATGATGTAAGAAACTTGTGGGAGTGCCCCTCCCATCACTGTTAGATCTTTGGAGCTTTGGGGGATATGCTAAAGAGGCTGCCAGCTCTGCTCCTGGTCCCTGCTTCTGTGGGGTATGTGTTTGTGAGTAGTTGAGCAAAGCCCACAGCTTAGGCCCGTCAAGCCTGTCAGAGACCAATAAACCACTTTACTCCTACTTTTGTGGCCTGATAAGAATGGATACAATAGAAAAGTATTCTCTTGTAAACCTAATTTCTAGCAAAGAACAAAATGTACAGGAAATGTGTTGTATCACTTCTCAACTGTGATAATTTCATTTCGGTGTTCTCTGAGTTATTGAAAGAGTCAAAGTTCCTGTGTCTATATTACAGACAACACTGCTATGAAACTTGTATTCTGGGGCCTTGGTCCTTCAAGTGGGATCCTCAGGTTGGCAGCATTGCCATCACTTGGGTGCTTGTGAGAAATGCCAGCATCTCATGCCTCTCTCAGACTCCCTGAATCAGAATCTGAATTATTATAAGATTTCCTAAGGCCAAGTGCACACTTAAGTTTGAGTAACTTTAGACCTCAATCTTTTTTTTTTTTTGGGTTTTCAGAGCAACAAGCCTCTCTGTTTACACTAGAATTTTAACTAGCTCCTCAGGCTGTTCAAGCCCATGGCTCAGGAACTTGAGTTTTAAAATTAATTTATAGAACACCTGCTGTAATTTGAACCATGTGAACCAATCCCATTATGAATGTGCTTTGAGAGAAGGGACAGAGGGTTACCTCTGGGAGGGAGTTGAGGGACCATCTCACAGGCAGGGCTTCATAGGGTGATATTATTTTGAAAAAATCGTTATAGTTTGTAATCCATTGTTTTGTAAGTATGGAAACTTCCATCAAGCGATCCAGAGGTTGGCTTCTGAGAAGGCCAAAATTATGCTGTATAAACTTGCAAGAAATTGCTGTATAAGCCAGCATGTCAGTTTTTACAACTAGAAATAAAACAATTGTGTGGGCCTGATGGTTTGACCAGAAAATTCTCTATATGAAAACTCTACTTTGAAAGGTTAAGTAAATCTCTTGTCAAGGATCAAATCAGAGCCCGTTTGTTAATTTTATGATTCTTAATGCTAAAAACCATGGTATAGAAATATATCTATTTATGATATATAAATATCCATACAAGCCTGTTAACCAAACATTCAAAACAACAATTATGGGAACTCCAGCTCTGGACATTGGTGAACACAAATAGATTTTGGCTCGTATACATTTCTTCTTTTTTTTATTTGGCAAAGTCTTTCTCTGTATATATTTTAATAATATCATCTCTCAGCTTTATGGGGGAATCTGTCATCATTGCTTCCATGTTCTGTCTGTACAAAACCATTTTCAGATTATAAATATATCAACATTGCAAATTTCTTGGCATAGGGGATAGTATGCTGGAAAAACCACCAGCACTCCTTCAAAATATCAAGGAAGGCCTCCTAAAGGAGGGGAAGAGATTGATGAGATTGATAAAGGAGGAGAAGGTTAAGGGAAGCTACTGGGTCAAAAATGGGATAAAGCAGTTGATTCAGTTGATCAGGCAACTCAGGCACTGTGGAGGATACAAATAAAGTATAAGTGATAGAGCCAGCTTTACACAAATTTGAAATCAATTTTGAAGACAAGAAAACTCACATGAAACAATTAGTGAACAATTATAAGACGGCAAATAACTGAGTGCTAAATAAATAAACGACTTGTTTGTACAGAGCTTTATATATTTATACATAAATATATTTTATATAAAATATATAATAAATGACATGTTTATAGAAAGCTTTATATTACACATGATTCATTTATGTATTAAACAAATATATGTATATATATATATATATTAAAAGGGATAATGTGTAGTATAAAGCTCTCTACAGACATAATGCAATAATTCTTTGAAATAGGAAGAAGTTAATAACTGACTCACCCAAGATCACAGAACTAGTAAGTGGAACAACCAAGACTAGAGTTTAGGAGTTTTAACTTCATAACCAAAATAATTTCAACTACATTAAACCATCTTGTAATAGATAGCATATGTTTACTTAGAAGAAAATACATAGGTGAGACTGCTGTCATGTCTAGTAAAGGGGTTTTATTAATTAGGAGACATGTAGTTTTATAAGAAATCACTGGAAGAATCAGCATCAGATGAGGAGAGGGAGTGGAGAACAAGAATGAAAAAGGTTGGCCACGTGTACTAAAGGTACCTGGATGGGGTCACGGGAAGGCTATGGAGCAACAAGTCAAGCTGAGAGACAATGTCTCCACGAAGGCAGCCTTGGTCAAGGCCATGCAAGGGAAAGGATAGACACTGAAGATGCTCTGGCGCCCCCAGGGGCAGGCGTTGGCAATGGAGGAAAAAATCTCCCGAACTGTCTACCTGAAAATTATCTTGACAGTTTTGTCTGGGTTATATTGGCTACTAGGATGAGGATGCACTAGAAGCTCAAAAATGAGAAGATGAACATTTTAGTCTTCATGATTAATTTGAAATAATATTGAGACACATTCAAAGTGTCTTGTGGACAGAATGCTCCTGCATTGGGGCGGTGGTAGTGGGGCAGG